ACAAGGAGTCTAAGGATTCTCCTTTGGGCCTGCAGAGCATCTAGTATGATGTTTGCAAATAGAGGTGTTAAATAAATACTTAAATTAGATTGCTGGATTCCTGAGGGTTTCTTACAAAAACAAAAAATCAGGTCTAAAGATTTTGTTAATCAATTAATTAATAATTAATACTTAAAAGCAGAATTGTTGGTTGTGAACAATCGTTTATAAATTGTCACAGTGTATAATTTTTACTCATTGACTTGTGCATTTTTGTTTGTGTGGTTAAGCCCTCTATATCAAATATGTTATGTGAAATACTCAAGATTTCCTGTTTCACTTCCATTTTGTGGTTGCCTTGAGCTTGCTAATGCCTTTGGGGACATAGCACAGAGGCAGGGACTGTGTCATCTACTGAGGTCCCATCCAGATTCAGGAGCTTCTTATGATTACTCTAGTCAATATTTTTCAGGGAATAAATTGTTTTATGGAGGTGCAATATCTCTTCTAGGTCCTGTTGGTATCATTTGATGATCTAGAACAAGTTCAAGTAAAAGCCAGAGGAGAAGCCTAAGTCATGAAAAACAGATAGAAATATCAGTCATAGTGGAGGTCCATGTTACTCTTGGTGGGCTTTTTCCCTTCTTGTCTTTGACTTGCTAACCATTTACTTTCTATGCTTTTGCCAGTCCTTTGAGTCCTAGTGTGTGGAAATTCTTTTGGTGGTCTTTATAACTATCTCCTGTCTTGGAGGTGATACATGATTAAAGCCACACCTCTTTGAAAATAATTTAATGAAAGCATTTAAATAATGTTGATTCCACAAAACCATACAGCTATCATTTCCTCTACCTTCTCCTTCAATCTGTCAGCACCAGAAAAAAGACAGATATTTGTCGAATCTCTGTTTTGACTTTCTTGCCCACCAAGTCCTTCCTGCTTTCTCATGTCTAAGAGTGTCATTAAAACTTTAATGTCTGGAAAGTGAGTCCCATTTTCTTCAGTATCTCCCAGAATCTCTGATCCCCTGCTGAGACGGGAGAGATCCTTGACCCCTTCATGGGACTTGTGACAAGGGTGTGGCTCATTTACTTGGCTGCCACCCTCAAACCCCTTGTGGGAGCAGGAGCACACAGGTGAGTGGGTGCAGCAACTGGGGTGAGTACCTTTGGGCATTTGGCATGAACAAACCCCGTACCAGCCCATGGCAGCATCTAGGGTTTGCTTGAGACCTCTGGAGCCCCAGACAAACAATGCTCTTTTAGCTTTGCCATCCCTGGACAGCTTCAGTGTTAAACAACTCACTGAAGAGTCAGTGTGACAGCCTTTTCGGGTTCCTGCACCCAGTGCATCTCAAATTCTTGTCCGGTGTCCAGGAAGAATCAGGTCACATGAAAGGATTGAAGGGTAGTGTATGCAGAGGATTTTACTGAGTGATGGCAGTGGCTTCAGAAGGATGGGGAGCTGGAAAGGGTATAGAGTGGGAAGGTAATCTTCCCCTGGAGTTCGACTGTCCCCAGCTGAACTCCTCCCTGACTGTCCCTGGCCGAACTCCTCTTGACATTCAGATGCTTCATCTTTTCTCTCCTTCTCTGTCATGCCACTCTGTTTCTCTGCCAGTGGAGCTTGGACTTTTTAATGGGTAGAGGGTGGGGGGCACAGTGGGCCAGGGTGGTTTTGGAAAAGATAACATTTGGGTAGGAAAACAGGAATGTATGTTGTCAATTAGATCTACAGGTCCAGCCCTGAGAGTGAAGCCCTTGCTAGGGACCCCGCCCTCTTCCTCCCGGTCTTTCCCTGCCTCCTGTCCATATCAGTACCCCACCATTCCTTTGAGCTTTTGGGTCACTGCACAGACTACTAATTTAAGGCTTTGCGTGCTTAACTTCTCCCTGCCAGACTCAAAGTCAAATCCAGGCTCCATCTTTGTTGGAAACCACTCAGGACCCTAGAAACTTATGAGCATATCTTGTAGGCACTCTGGCTTTAGTTCTGAGGGTCTCAGGCCATCCACTTGTCTCATATGGACTCTTCTGCTACTGCTAACATTTCTGTAATGTGAGTTACTGTATACCATTGACATGTGGGTGAATAACATCAGTATAACATGGAACAGTAGGAAGAAGGAAGAAAAATCCCCATTGTGGATGCTGTATTGGTACAAGGATCTTTTCAGCTATATTTTAAGAAAATTAAAAAGTTTTCACTGCACTCAGGCCTTCTTCCTCAAGAAGTTCACCCCAGACACTTCCTGGCAAATTGCAGTTGTTCTTTGGCCACCTTAAGAGCAGACCCAACAGCTCAGATCTCCATTATCATCAGCACTGCCTGGCACTCATCAGACCTGCTGTGAATGAAGGGCTGCCAACATGTCCACCAATTGTCATTGTGTATTTTTAATGTCCAGTCACACTGAGCTTCCAGTGATTGCTTTTGTTTGTGCTCTGGTCCCTAGGTAGGCTTTGTGTAGAATCTCCTATCCTACTTTTCCATCAATCCTGTTGTTTATAGTGTACAAGGGTTTTCAAATGCCTATATCACTGCAGAAATGTATTTCCTTGATGCAGAACTGACCCTTCAGCAGTACGCACTGATGCCCACAGGACCTTGGAGGCTTTGCCTTGGTGCCCTCATCAACCTTTGGTTTTCCTGTACCTGAAATCATGGTGCCAACTCATGGTCCACATCTGTTGTAGTATGTCTGCCACACTTGTGCCCATCCACAGAGCCTGACGATCAGAGAACTTCACTTTCCTAATTCCATCACTTTTTCACCTGTTTCAGGCTTTCCCACAGCTTCTCGACTAATGGGGTCATTGGTGTCTCTCTAAAAATGCCACTGTGCCTGAGTGTCTGGGATTGTTGCTGTGTTTGCTTTATGGGGAGAGGCTGAAACGCCCAGTACAACTATGCAGCTTGACACTGAAAATTTACCCCCAAATCTGTTAATGCACCTTGGAGCTGAAAGTCAGAGGCCATAATTGCTCCGCATTGAGTGGATAAACAAACCGTAAATAACTCTGTGGGCACATCGTAAACGTGGGGCCGACCTGTCTTTTCTAGCCTATCTGTCTCTACAGGCTAAAGGAGTAATATGAGTGAGGGTGCCTCCTTCCCAGGGGCTTTAGGCAACATGAAGGGACCAAAACTAAAACCAGAAGCTCCTCTTATGAGTGGAGTAGAGGAGCTGGGCTTCATCTTTGCCAAAGTTAGAACAAGAGGAAGGGGGCTGGTATAACTGAAGGAGGGAAAAGTTACAGAATTTAAAAAACCAGGACTGGGTTCTAAGGGGGATGAGAGCCTCACCTTCTGAAAACACTTTAAAAATAAATCTTCTTGTGTGTTTGTGTATAAGAGCATATATGTGTGTGCATGTATATATGTGTATGCCCCCCTCCCCTCCCAGACACACACATACACACATGCCTGCAGGACTAGGAGACTTTTATCCTCATCTGTTTAAAGAAAATTATGGGCAACCAAGTCTGGTTAAGGCCATAAAAGACCAAAATTGGCCTGAAGATGTGTTCTCTTCAGTCTACAAAGTTTACAAATTATTTTTTATATGAAATGCCTTTAGAAAGCAAGTGTACTATGCATACTCTGAAGTTTTCTCTAGTCCCCACCACTCCCTAATGTCACACCTCACAATGTCCGTTACCTCTCTGGGATCAATAGCAGGATTTCTCAACCCAGCGCTGATGATTCTTTGTAGTGCTACTTGTCCTGTGCACTGTAGGATGTTTAGCCACACCCCTGGCTTTTACCCACAAGATGCCAGTAGCACCCCCCATTTACTACCCATGGCTGGAAGTTTTCAGACAACCAGAGAGGTAAAGCAATTTCCTCAAAGTCTCATACTAGGAGTAGTTCTATGATTTCATACTCCTGGCATGGTGCCCTTTCTTCTATAGTATGGATAGTAAATCCCGACATCACTTATTTTCATATTACATAAAGAATCCCCTGAGCTCCCTAAGCAGCATTTATAAGAGGTAGGTTACTTGCCATTTTCAATATATAGTTTGTGGTAAAATGGACAGTTGTCTAATTCCGAGGTGATGACCCCATCTCTAAACTCACCTTTTTAACCCAGTAAGTGAGAGAAATAGTGGTACCCGAGATCAAGCCTGTCTACACTTATATGGCTAGAGGATAGTTGAGGCTGACATTATCTGATTGGTTGGTGCCTATGACATGCCAGTGGTGAAATACTTTGAATATCACCCTGCCTGTCTTGTTGGGTTGTTGTGATGATTAAGTAAGACAGTCCAATCATGCTTGACACATTGTAAACTCTCAACAGCTATGAGCTATTGTTCTTATTGTCTCAATTCATAATCAGGTAAAATAAGGAAGTCCTCCCTACTGCTTTGACCTTATATGGCACCCCACTCCCCTCCCCTGCTTGTTCCAGCTACAGTGGCACATTCTTGTTTCTCTACCTTGGCAATTTGGGCCAATTCTTGCCTCAGGGCCTTTGCACTTCCTGTACCTTCTGCCTAGAGTGCTCTTACCCTAGACTTTAATTTTGTTCCTTCTCATTATGCAGATTTCTGTTCCAATGTCACTTTCAGAGAGTCCTTTCCTGACCTCCCTCTATAAAAGAGTACCCAATTCTGCATACCCTTGGGCTATCTGGACTAATATTTATTATTATTATTATTTATTATGTGTCTTCCCTCTTCTTTACAAAAGAGGAAGTTCGTCTTCTTTGCACTATAGCTCTAGCATTCTTTCATATCATGGTAGTAGCAGAGAGCCTAGCATACAGCTCAAGTGCTCAGTAAATATTTGTGGAAGGAATACATTAAGCATAAACCCTGAGTCCAAGTCCAGGGCTCTTTCACTCCATTAGATATAAGCCTATCTAGAAGAAGATGAATAAGACTCATTGACTAAATGATGGATTCATTCATTGATTTGCTGATTCATTCTTTAATGTGTTCATTGATTCACTCATCTATTCATTCACGTATTCATTCATTAATTTAGCAAACATATACTAGGTACTCTGTTGGGAATCTACCTACTCTGTAGAGAGAAACTCAAATGAGCAAATTTCAGTTTCTATTATTATTCTTCATTATCATATGCAAGCAAGTAGGAAAAATTGAAGCTCCCACCTATGAAGAATGAAAACATGTTTTTGCACATTAGCATTTCCCCCAAAGTCTCTGGAGCCCATTGCCAAATAAAATTTATACAGAGCCTCTACTATGTGCCAGGTGCCATCGAGGCACCATAGATTCTGAAATGGATAAGGTCTTGTTCCTAGACCCAAGTTGGTTTTGCATCTCACTGTCTTTTACTTTTTGTTCCTACTGCCTTATTCCATTGCTTATTACCTCTGGCCTGGACGATGGCAGAGATTTATATTAGAAAGCACACACACATGCCCGTTGTTGGTCAAGAGAGTTCAACTACTGGCAGGCCTCTGGCATGCAGTTTGCTGTGTTCTTTTCTATTTAACTACCACCAACTCATTCTAATTCTTAGGATTACCCTCTTTTTCAAGGCCATCTGTGAGCCAGCACACCACCTGCTCAACTCTTCTCTGTTGTGCCTTTTTTAAAAGCATATACACCCTTTTCATTGTAAGGATTTTACATCTAAACATTATGTGTAAATAGACAGGAATAATGTAAGTAATGAACCATAGAGAATGCTCTGGATGTCTGTGGATCCTGACACACTTTCTTAGGTGATGCTTTTAAGGTCCTTTGTTTGGGAAATCAATCTGGTTGACTTTCTCTACTGGGTGCTAAACAGAGGAGTTTTAATTTTGGGTTGGCAGATGGCTGTTTTTGTCAGATTCTCAACCACTCTTAGAGCTCACATTCCATTGAACTCTCCATATAAGTGCCTCTGGAGCTGTGCTCTGCTTTGGTTTAAGAGGAAAGGGCTATTCCCCTTTTGCTTCCTGAAATTCTTCCCCTATAGTTTGTGCAGCTGTTCAACGACTTTACAGATACTTCCATCACCTTCTCAGCTCCAGCTTCTGAAAGTGCACCTCATCTCTCCTGATTTATCCCCATTGACCCTTCTGCCTGCACAGGAGATGCAAATGCTAAAGGATAGTTTTGACAAAGGTTTAAATGAGTGTGTGTGGATAAAAGAGAGCTCAATGAAGCATTCAGGCCTTGCATGTGAAAGAAACATCACCCATCTAGGGCTTTAAACAACAGAATGTCTTGTTGCCTGAGTGGAAATTTGACATCAGAGCAAACCCCATTATAGAAACTCAATTTGCCATCTAAAGGGATGACCACTCTTCCCTTTACAAGAGATTTTAGAGCCAATCTTTGTTGCTTTACCATTGTACTCTGTGCAGTACACAGAGTTTAGCAAGTAAACCAGATTCATGGCTTCCAGAGTGCCTGAGGATAAAAGGGCTAAAGAAGTTTGCTGGTTCTCAGTGGTCATTCCAGTGTCGTATTGCTTTAATATCCCTAAACCTTGATGCTATTCCAGTATGGTCTTTTGCAAAGAGGGAATTGATTGGTGCTCAATGAAAACACTGAAAGTCCTTCATTTCACGACTGTAAAAGAGACACACGACAGGGCACTACCTGAATCTTCTGTTTTTTTTTTTCCGTCCTGCTCATACACGGTCTCTACTCCCCAGACGTTCATTGGGGTTCTTGCTGAAATTCATTCCTGTGTTCACCTATCTGTCAATATCAAGTCACCACTTAGCCTCAGTCATATTTTCTCTTTCCTGCTGTAGTTCTCCTGATCAGAGTCTTCAACTTCCAAAGTCACGCAGGGGAATCTTAACCATACTATTCCTAAGGTTAACCTCGATTTTAACCCCAATACTTATGCCAAGGGGACCATCACCTTAAGGAGTTTGTTAAGGGTCGTGCTATGGCCTGAGCTAATGCAGTGAAACACTTCCCAGTGCTATGTCACACATTTCAACCTAAACAGCATTCACAGAGCCCTTTATGGTGGCAGCTTCCTTTGACTTTGCCTCTAACCCCTCTAGCCATGGTCCATGAGGCCAAGTAGGATACTAGACACCATATCTTTTTCTTTATCATCATCCAGTGTTCACAAATACTTACTCTGCCCCTTTCAAATAAAAACAAAAGCCCTCATGAATGTCTATTGCAGCCACACCCACACATGTCTGAATTTTCTTTAATCACAGCCAATACCATCTGGACTGTGCTAGGAAAAAGAACACAAGTTTTTACCTTTACGGGATGACAGAACAGAACTGATAAGCATCATCACCATCTGTCCACGTGGGATTGACTTTGTCTCCTCCCCTACCATAGCTATGGTCTTTTGCTCTTTGGTCCCTGGCCTGTCATCTTGGTTTCTTGAGATTTTACATGAATTCACAGCCTAAGCCCATAAGGAATTAAATGCAGGTCTTGGGTGATTTGGCCCCCACAACAGAGACTGGGCAGGCAGGCATCTACACAACTCTCTCTCCTTGAGACTTGGCTTTGTTCTGTTGTTAGTCTACCAGGAGTTCCCAACCCCAGGCCACTGACCAGTACCAGTTAGGCACCAGGCAGCACAGCAGGTAGTGAGCAGCAAGCAAGCAAGCAAAGCCTCATCTGTATTGACAGCTGCTCCCCATCACTCTCATTACTACCTAAGCCCCATCTCCTGTCATTTCAGCAGAGGCATTAGATTCTCATAGGAGCGTGAACCTCATTGTAAACTGCCCATGTGAAGAATCTAGGTTGTGTATGCCTTATGAGAATCTAATGCCTGATGGTCTGTCACTGTCTTCCATCACCCCCAGATGAGACCATCTAGTTGCAGGAAAACAAGCTCAGGGCACCCACTGAGTCTACATTATGGCGAGTTGTATAATTATATCATTGTATATTACAATGTAATAGTATTAGAAATAAAGTGTGCAATAAATGTAATGCACTTGAATCAACCTGAAACCATCCCCTCTCTGATCCATGGAAAAATTACCTTCCATGAAACCAGTCCCTAGTGCCAAAGAGGTTGGGGACTGCTGAGTCTACCACTCAGCACTGAGGCAACTGATGAGGGCAAATGACCTGCTGGCTAACAAGGGATGGTCAAAGAAGAGGTATCAGTGCAGAACTCTCGGAAGGCCTCTCTCCATGAGAAAGTACATGGTATTCCCATATGTCCACAGTGTTCTTTACTTTAATTCTACCTTCCCTTTCAGATCCAATTAGATGTCATTTTTTCCCTCATGGCCTCCTTCCCTTCTCCTCTCACATTCATCCTAATATTGTGGATTTGCATTCTTCCTCCACAGTGTTCTCACAGGTTTTCATTACCCCATGAAGGCCATCGAGGCACCTTGCACCGTTCATATGTCACCTCTAATAAGATCCACATTTCTTGAGCATAAGCATGGAGTCCTTTAACCACTGACCTCCTGCCTTGTTCTGTACCTCCTCCTGGTAGAGGCCCCATCATGCTATTGTTGAGTTCCATTTCACAATTTCGTTAGAAAGAACAATTCCTTGAAGGAAATGTGATAAATTAGCCTTATAAGAGTGTTCCCCATCATTTTTATTAAACTCTATTGCACCCTAATTCATATATAAGAAAAGGGTTCAACTATTATTTTCCAAAGAAAATGCAGTTCTGTTTGTTAAAAATTTGCATAGATTACCAACTTTTTTCTTTTTATCACAAATATCTAATTTGAAGGAATGATCCCTATTCCTTTCCATAAAAATCAGGATTTTAGTTATAGTCAGGAGCCTAGAATAATCCTAATCTGAACTTTTCTTACATCCCATCCTGTGGCTAGAAATAATGATTTTCAGAAAAATATTAAGGCTTCAGGGTTCTTTGTGGTGAAGAGACTGGAAGTGATACTGTGGGGCTTGTTGAGATATGACATCATAACATCATCATAATATTAATTGCTTGATAATATAAAGTGTCCTTAGTGAAGTACACAAGATAAGCTATCTCTGGCTCAAACTAGGGCTGAAAATATTGAGGATGTTCAAATATTGATTAGTATTCATTTGTGTATTATTTACTTACTGTTCAACTATTCAAAAAACGATTTATGGCAAGAGATGGAATTTGGATTTAGTTCATGAGACAGAGACCTATGAGTTTATTTAACCCACAAATTCAGTATGATCCAAAAGTAAACATCTCATGGTGACTTGCCCCAGGAAGGACAAAATCTCTGGGTGCAGCATCTTGGAAGGGCAGACAGGGATAGAACAGAGAGGACAGTGACTAGGACAATGGAGGGCTTAGAACTTTTATGGTATGAGGAAACCTTGAAGACTCCTTGAACCCAGGAGTCTGATATTAGTCTTGAGAAAAGTGAAGAGTAGAGATGGGTCCGAGAACTCCTGACTAGCAGAAATGCCTATTGCAAGAGCTTTCACATGGACCAGGCTGCACTGCTATCTAAGGCTGAACCAGGACAGAGGCACAAAAGCTACAGGGAGGCAAATTCTAATGCAATAAAAGAAATAACTTTTAAGTTTTTGAACAGAGCCACACAGTTATCTTGTGAGGCAGCATGTTCTTCTCTACCAGCAAGGCTCAGATGGGGGCTCTGTGGTCACATGCAGAGATGTTGTGCAGAGAGTTTGTTCTTTCTGGTCCTCCAGGGCATGGGCCAAGAAGTGAGTGAAGCCTGGGACTAAGCCAGCCTGAGTGGCACCTACTCCTAGGATAGCAGCCCTAAGAGGTTCTGTGCCAAGAAAAGTGATGCTAGCAGTAAAACATGGAATGATGCTGAAGGACCCAGAGCCAGGTGTTTCATGAATAGGTTACCAAATGGGAAGGGCAGAACAGATGGAAAGTAGGATGAATACAGTAGGGGTAGGTGGAGAGAGTGGGATCTGATTTCATGAACTCAGTACATCTGCATCTGCAGTGGCATTGTGTCAGCACCTAAGTTGACTTGCTTCACTGAGGCAAGTGTGGCGTATTTTTTAAATCAGAGATCCACACCTGAAACGTTCTTCCTTTAGTAGTAGGTAACATTTCTAACTCTAATAATCTGTAAGCCATCGAGTCAATATCCCCTCTGTGTGAATGTCCTATATATATTAATCTCATTATGATCAACAGAGACGTGAAAAAGCCAGTGGATTCATCCGTACCCTTCAACTTTTTTTGTATCTTCTCAACCAAGGAGCACTAGTTAAAGAGACACATTCTTCAGCTCTTCATTTATTTGCCACTCTCAACTAGGGCAAATTGGCCAACTGTTCCGGGCTTCAGATCCATCACAAAAAGAAGGTCCTTCAAGAGAAGAGAAACTTTAATTCCAAATATAAATTCTGAAAAAAGGGCTACAACTTTCAATTTTCCTCTGTCACTTGCATAAACTTTCCCTTACCCAAGGAATCATACTCTATGGTACATATTAACTAACATTTTTTTTCTTGGCCTCCGAGTGTATTCCCCTGGTTCTCAGTTGATGTTACAAGTTGCTGAACCATTTAAAACACAACTGAACTATTTCCCTAGCAGTACTGGCTCTAAATGTCATGGGGCTCTGGAATATGGAGGTCAGACAAAGCACAAAGGAGATGGTAGGAAAAGGGAGAGAACGTCAGAAATCTCTAGGTATGGAAATATGTCTTCAAGGTGAGAACAATGTTTAACTCAAAATGACAAATTTGTATTGTGGATTCCCCCAAACAGAGTCTGAAATAAGAAAGATGTGTGAGTGGTTTATTCAGGAATGTGATGCTGAGGTGCAGAAGTGAAGGGCAGGGAAAGTGAACTGGAAACGAGGGAGAGTCAACCCAACGATGCACCACTGAGTTGGTCACCACTGGAGCAAGTAGGTGCTTGACCTGTGGAACTATTTCAGAAGCTTTATAAAATGCATTTTAGAACTGTTCCCCTGGGGGGACAAAAAGACAGTAATTTCCATTTCCTGCTGCTCAAGGGTTACACTGTAGGTGTTAATCCTCTAGCTGTTTGGGATCATGCATAAGTGCTGAGGGGTTTCCACAGGCCCGCCATGTTGTGACATCAGGGAGCTTCATAGTATGGAGCAAGGTGAGTGGCTCTCAGGTGATTTGTGACTGAGGATTGATGAAGTCTTCAGGGAACTGGACACCAAAGCCTCGGGGGCATGAGAGGTGAAATAGGATTTGTGATAATACACAAGAGTTGTCAAATACATATGTAACCCATGTTTCTCAACATTTCACCCATTGGGGTCTGCAAATTGAGTGACCTCAAATTCACTGCTTCTCACTGCCACTCCAAAATTGTAACGCCAGCTGATAATCTCACATGGGCTCTCGAACAAATCAGATCCACTGGGGATTCCCCTGCTCCTCCTGGGGACTGCTGGTCCCTCTGAGCACTGTTACCTCTGCTGGCATCACTTCAGCTCCTGCTAAAAATTGCCAACTTGCCCCTGAACGTTGTATTGCCCTTCAAATCCTTTTTCCTCTGCAACTTCAGTGCTTGGTTATTGAGCCAAACTTCTTATTGCCAACTCTTCCATTTTGATGAGTCCCTTCTCAAGAGGCTGTTCAGTCCCTCATGGAAATAGAGGTGAAGTCTCTAGGCACCCTGTTGGTGAACCAAACCTTAATTTAATGCTGGGGCTATACCTACATAAATATTAGCTTGAACATCTACTGTAAACATAAAACAAATGTTGTTTTATGTTTGTTATGGGCTCTATTGGGGGAGGGATTTAAAATAGTTGGAGCTAGAAGTGGAAAATGGAGAGAGAGAGAGAGGCAGAGACACGGAGAGAATCTTGATGCTCAGCTAGAAGGCAAAAGAAGTGAATATTCTAAGTCTCCTAAATTGTTCCTGTATAAATAACTATGATTACTTCATGTCACTAGATGCATGAAAAGGGATTCATTGCCTTGGGGGAAAAATGGGGTATTCTTGTACTGGACCGCATTCTTCAAGTTTCTCTCCCACTCGCCTTTAACTAAGCCATTCTACTTGAGTTTCTAACATTTTCCAGAGAAGGTATTTCAGTGACTTTTCATAATATATCTATGCTATTAAACTGTGGTCACTATCTACAATTACTTACAAATGATTACTCGAAAGCCCATGTGTTTTCTCCTAAGCCCATTTCCTAGTCAAAACTCAATTGAGATAGAGAACAGCTGCTATATGCTATGTACCCTGTGACCTTTATAAATATGCTTTCACTGATTAACTAGGTGGTTACTACTCCCTGCATCTCAAAGAAAGCTAGGGGTCAGTTGTTCCAAAGTCATTCCTTCTCAAGTGTAGCTAATCTCATTTCTAGAGGAAATATAAAGAAAGGCCATTTACTAGTCATTTAACCTGCAAAAGCTCCTCCTCTCAGTCCCTCCAGTTCTGCACTCAGAGTGTCCTAAGGGTACTGAGGACCTTTGGAGGTCCTCATCCCAAGGCTTGCTGTACTCCTTGTTGGAATATGTAAGTGAGATGAAGAAAGGACAGAGGCAGGGAGTCATGAAGAGGCATCTTCAGGGCCAAGAAGAAACTGTCATGAAAAGAATGGAGAATATTGGAGGATGAGCTACAATTCCTAAGTAAGCTCTTTTCCTGTTTCTTCATAAAAACACTGACTCCAGCTTAGCTGTTTTTGTCTGCTGATCCTGATTGTTGAGCTTGTGGACACTGACAGACAGAAAGGGACCTGCTGGTGTCGTTTTATATGGTTTGATGTCTCCAAACAGAACAATCCTTAATGCACTTTACATAAAACACAGAAGAGAGGTGGTAGAAATAAAAGGGCTAGAAATGGAAGGCTGTATAATAATAATACCAGCTGACATGCATTGAGCACTTACTGTAGGGGGGAATCTTGCTTACTTGCTCCTCTGTTAACTCTATCGGATTAGTCTGGACCTTTTCAACTGCAAGTGATAGAACCTGATTCAAGCCAGCTGCCAATTTTTCTTGGCTTTGAATCCAGCTATGCCTTGTTTTCTAGGTTCAGGTGATTCATATGATGTCAACTGGACTTGCCCTTACTTGCCTGCCTTAGACTTCTCTTTCCCGTTTTCCTCTATCTTCTCAGAGAGTCTCTCTTGATGGAAAGTTGGACACCAGTTAGTCCAGGCTTATGTCTCATCTCTGTGGAAAAGTGGAGCTATTTCTTTGTATGGTTCTGACAAATTTCCCTAACAGGGTCTCATTGACTGTGATGGTGTCCTGAGTTCATCTTTGAGCCAACTGATGGTCATAGGTGTGTGACATTCAGTTGGCCAGGCCCGAGTCTCATGCCAGTCCCTGGCACTGAGAGGAGGAAAAGGTGGTGCTGAAGTGAGCCCTACTCAAACCACAAAGTCTGAGAGTGACAGGCCTGCTTTCCAATGCAAATTCAGTTACAGAAGAAGCAGGAGAGGACATATTATTCAATTTGTCTAAGGTTGGAGACCAAGTTTTCAGAATCCATTTCCTCTATGGTACAAGTTTAGAGTTAGCTGAAAGAGGGATTTGTGGGAGACTTGAGACTGTGAGAGTTTCACAGAAGCCACTCCTCTCTAACCACTGTCATGGCCAGACCGTCATGGTTGGATGCAGATGCTCCCAGTTTGTTCCGAGTCCAGCTTGTCTGCTCCACTCTCATCCCTGCTAAAGAGCAGCACCCCAGGCCACCACCAATCATTTAGCTGTGGATCCGCTGATGTGGTGGTGTCGAGGACCCCCTCCCAAGCTTACCTTCAGTAGTCTCACTTCCATCGCTGTGTTGCTTTGTTTCTCCAATTCTCCTGCAAGCTTGAATGTGTCCAGCCTCACCACAGACTTAGGATGCAGACTACATAGTGACCAATCCTCCAACACCCGCTTCATGCCTCCTTCTACATCTGTGCAGGCTCTAATTCTGAATAAAATCCCTTATTCCCATAATGTTTACAGCAGTTCTCTGACCAAACCCTGACTGATGAGCTGGACAAGTAAAGGTGACATGTTCAGGATACCCACTGCCTCTATTTCATAGAGGAGAAAGCAAAAACATGTTTCCCCAGAATGACAGGGCCAGGATTTAAACCCAGGCCTGTCTGACCCCAACGCCCAAGTTCTTAGCTAGCAGCTACTCACCTGATGTGTACTTTTTCTTGTTTGCTTCTAAATCATGGCAGATTCTACTCTCGCCTTTGATGGGCCATAGGTGCATAGTAAGGCAGGTTCTTTTGGTTTTCTGAGAAGAAAAGAACACAAAACAAATAATTTTTAAAAGAAGGAAAGAGACAACAGATTTAGATAACCCACTATTAAGCAGAACAAATGAACACGCATATTCCGCTGCTTGAGATTTGTGGAAAGAAGCCTGGGTGCCTCAGGAGTTCTCATTTGCCAGAACGAGCCTTGGTTTATGCCTTTTGGGGCTGTGCTTCCTTCCCTGGTGGTTCTGTCCATCTGTGGACCTCAGCCTGATTTCTGGTGGGAATGTCTCTAGAAACTTGCCACGGCCACCCAGCCCAACCATTACACATTTTCTGTCCTGCATGTACATGTTCCATTCATACTTGCTTCTCATACAGCTGGTTCAACATGTACCCCCCATCCCTGCTGTTTTGGGCTTAAAAACTGGGAAAAGGCAGTAACCTCCTTTCCTTAGGCTAATCAGGCCTGAGGTCATTGTGGGGTTTTCACCAAAGCACTCAAAGTCTTATGAGAGTGAATAGAATTGTCACTTCAAATAATACTTAAATCATTTAGTATTGGGAGATTTGAATGGGAAGAGAAGGAAATTAAAGTGTTCAGGTTAAAATTTAAAATGCAGATGGTTTTTGGAAACTGTAAAATAAGTGAATGAATGGAGTTAGATGTTGAAGAAACCCTCTGACATGTTGGCTCTAGGAGAACATACATTCCACTACTAGAAGGTGAGCAGGGACTTGGCTCACTGTGTGCCTGTCCCATCAAGGTGCTCAAGGACAATGTTTGTGGAAGGAAGGGGTAAATTGAGTGAAGCTTGGACTCAGGAACTAAGAAGAATTAAGAATAAGTAGAGAGGGTGTAAGGAACAGTGAGTAGCTAGGAGTTGGGATGTTCTTGGCAAAACAGTTCAGCCTAGTCAGAATAATGTAGCAAAACTACTGGCATATGGAAGGACTAGACTCACATCCTGATTCCCAGGCCTTGGCTAATTCAGGATGACCACAGGAATCTCACTTCTCTGAGTCTGTTTTTCTCTTCAATTAAATGAGATTTAATCAGTTGGTCCCTGAGAACCTTTGAGTTATATGATTAGATAGCGTTGAGGAAAACCCGGGAAAGACCAGTACCCAATATAGGTGTTGCCAGTGGCTTGAAGAGGTGAGGAGGGCATGTTAGCTTTGCTGGGCTCCCATCTATCAACTCCATTCTGCCCACGCTCTTCCCTTGCTCTCTGCCCTCAAGGGCATGGGCTCTTTCTCTGCTTTCTGCTTTCCCGTCTTTCTGAACCAACTCTGTTCAGTGCCCGCATTTCCTGGCAGCATAGTTGGCAGGCACCCTTAGGAGCAGCACAGAAGGGGCACCTCTGAGCAGAGCAGATGAGGACAAAGGGGCATGGACCTCAACACGGGGCAGTACTGTGCCAGGTCAGAGTCAGAGGGCAATTCATGCCCCAGCCAGAGCAAGGAGGTGGCACAGGCGAGCAGAATGCTCTCCCTGGGTCCCTCTAGATGCCAAACAGCACTGGAAATTTTCACGAATGCTAAATTCACTTGCCACTTTACAGGAAGTGCTGAGCCTTGAGCCATCTTTCCTTCAGCAGTTCCAATTTGTTTTTCCAGTTGCCTTTTTCCTTAGCCATCAGGACCATCTGCCCTTGGACATGTGGGTCTAAATTGATGATCTTGTTAAGTATCCAGAGACTCACACTGACACCTACACATGAGTGAAGTCACATGATTATCACCCACACTGCCCCATGGGCCAAAACACATTTGTCTATTTCCTGGCCTTCCCCCCAAATAAATTTCTGGTCAATGAAATTTAGAAAGAATCAAGAAAACTAAAGCAGACTTTCTTGCCGTATGAAAGCCTAAATTCAAGGCCCATCTTTTTTTTTTTTTTTTGAGATGGAGTTTCACTTTTGTTGCCCAGGCTGGAGTGCAATGGCATGATCTTGGCTCACCGCAACCTCCACCTCCTGGGTTCAAGCAATTGTCCTGCCTCAGCCTCCCCGGTAGCTGAGATTACAGGCGTATGCCACCACGCCTGGCTAATTTTTTGTATTTTCAGTAGAGACGGATTTTCTCCATGTCGGTTAGGCTGGTCTTGAACTCCTGACCTCAGGTTATCCGCCCACCTCAGCCTCTCAAAGTGCTGGGATTACAGGCATGAGCCACCACCATGCTTGGCCTCAAAGCCCCATCTTCACCCAACTTTATCATTATCCTATTATCTTGTAAACTCATTACAGTGTTGTAATGAGTTTACATCTTGTAAGCTCATTTTGGCATTTCAGATTTTATTTTCAAGAATTTCAGAGAAATCCACTTACAGAATGAAATCACCTGGCAGAGATTAGAAAGACGTGTAGAAGTACCACTCTCTGGATTATCATTGCTGTTATTTATGGTTATCAGTGATGACAAATATAAAGATTGTGGACAAACAAGAGGAGTGGTAGAAAGAATATTAGACTTAGATTCAGAAGTCCTGGTCCAAACCCTTATTACTAGCTCTGTGCCCTCAAAGAGATAGTGTAACCTCTTAGAATTTCAATTACCTCTTTGGTAAAACTGGAATAACAGAATGTACCTAATGGCTATAAAGTTTAAAAGAAATAATTGAGGTAAATGTATATGGCATATATAGATATTCAGTAACTTTTGAATAAACTCTGATTAATCCATGCTCATCCAGCATTCATTAATCTGGAGGTTTTGAAAGCCTAACTAATCACATTTTCCTTCTTGGTGCTGTTGATAACTATTGTTCAGAATGACATCTGTGAGGCATGCCAAGATTTTGGTGTGTTCCCTGAATAACCAAATAAAGATAAAACCATATGGTTTTTATGTTACAGGGATTACTGATTTTCAATAAATTAGCATACAATAAAATAGTTCTCATGTGATGCAATGCTCAGATTTCAGATAATAAATGCAGCCATTGAAACCAGAATAATCCCATCTTACTGACACAGTCATTTCCATGTAAGGAGCCACACCTGACACACTCAGAAAAACAGCTCCTTTGTGATTTTTTTGTGGAACTCTAGCGTTGAGGAGCTGCCAGGAGGAAAAGAAATGCCCTTTTCAGTCCTCTTTAATTCCTTAGGCTCATATTCATCAAGATTCTGGACATTTTTAGAAGGGGCAGGCTTCTTCCCTCGTTCTCTACCCTAGTCATTTTACTACCTAGAGGCTATTTCATGAGACATGACACAATCGTTTAGTTTTCTCTGAGACAGAAACTGGGCTTTTCGTTGAGTTTAACACCCAACAATGTTTGTGGCCTTCGTTCTCCAGCCTCTCATTTAAAGTCATAATTAAAGGAATGTCTTGAGAGGATTTTGTCCTGGCTGCAGAGGTTTCCGACCAGACAGCCAGGGAGGCACTCAGTGGCTTCATCCTCACTCTCAAGTCTTCCGAGAAATGGAGGGAGAGAGAAAATGCTTTTCTCACTGCAGTTTTTCATTTTGGGGGATTGGTATGGACATACCTTCGTTTAATAAACTTGCAGTGAGTCTAATTTCCCAGAAGATAGCACGATTTACCTAAAAGTTTTGAATTCTTAATTCCTCTGTTTATAAAACATTATACTAAATTAGATTAAATTTTAAAGCCATACAAACTAGATATAATCGAGCATCTCAGAACTTTTAAATATTTACTAAATTTGGCTTAGATCAATATCATTTTCCTGGACTTGAATAGTTATAGTTCACCTCCCAACTTAGTAATTCTAGATCAACTATGTCAAATATGGTGGAACTCAGAGCTTCTAAGGTTAGGACCCAATAGTATCAGTCCTTGTAGTTCTTGTAGCTAAAAATAAACAACTTGCAAATCCACATTGTGTTATCTAGTCTGACAATCTTAATCTTTTACTTGGAGAATATAGCCAATATTTAATTTAATTACTAGTACAATCATGTATCAGATTGCAATCACGTATACATCTGACCTTCTATTATTTGTTTGCTCTTTGGCTTACCTGTTTTCCTTTATCTTTTTTAATCCTTTTTTTTGACGTATAATGGATTAATAACATTTTTTTATTATTCCACTTTTTCTTCTATGAACATTTTTTAAACTATATTTTAGTGATTATCCTGGAGATTATGACATGTAGCCTTGATTTATGACGGTCAAAACAGACTAGCACTTTTACCACTTTCTCCACAGTGCTAGAACCTTTTAATTCTACTTACTTCCCTTTGCAATGCATTACGTTTGTCATCAATTTTAGTTTTACATATGTAGTTGAACCTTGGACAATGCAGGGACTAGAGACACTGACACCTTGTGCGGCCAAAAATCTGTGTATGATTTTTGACTTCCCGGAAACTTAACTACTAATAAGTTCACTGTTGACTGGAAGCATTACCAATAATATAAACAGTTGATTAACACATATTTTATATGCTGTGTGTTATATACTGTTTTCTTCCAATAGAGTAAGCTAGGGAAAAGGAAACGTTATTAAGAAAATTCTAAGAAAAAGAAAATATATTTACCATTGATTAAGTGAAAGTGGATCATCATGAAGTTCTTCATCCTCATCACATTTGCACTGAATAGATTAAGGAAGAAGAGGAAGCGAAAGGATTGGTCTTGCTGTCTCAAGAGTGGCAGAGGCAGAAGAAAATCCATGTATAAGTGAATTTTCACAGTTCAAACCTGTGTTGTTCAAGGCTCAACTGTATTTGAAATGACAAAATATTGCAATTATTATTTTGAAGAATCAATATGAATTTAATATTTGCCCACATAGTTATCTTTTCCAGTGTTTTTTATTCTTTCCTACATTTTCATGTTTTCTTCTGGAGTGATTTTTTTTTTCTAAAGAACGTTTTTTGGTCTTTCCTGTATGGCATGCTTGGTCATGACAAATTCTACTATTTCTTTTCCTGAAATATATTTTTCTTTCAGTTTAAAGTGTCTTTTCACTGGGTCTAGAATTATGTTTGGTATTTCCTTCTTTCAATACTTTAACTATATCCTCTATTTCCTTGTTCCATTTTCTCTTGGCTTCCATCATTTCTATTAAGAAGTCAGTTATAATTTTTACTGTTGCTGTTTTGAGAACACTTGTCTTTTTTTCTCTGGATGCTATTGAGATGTTCTCTCTGCTCTTGGTTTTTCAGCTGTTTGGCCATCATGTGCTTGGATATGCTTTGGTTTGTATTTATCTTGCTTGGGTTTCATTAAGCTTTGTAAATCTATGTGATCGTCACCAGCTTTTGAAAATTGTCAGTCATTATGTTTTCCAGTATTGCATCTGGGCCATTTCCTCTTTTTGCTTTTTCTAAAATGCCAATCATATATATGTTAGGCTTTTTGACATGTTCTGCATGCCTCTTACAGTTTTTTGTTCCTTTTTACTTTTTTCCCTCTCTGTACCTCAGTTTGGAGACAGCAAAATAGTTGAATCAAAAACACCTTAACTGTTGCTAAGTCCATTTAACGAGTTCCCAGTTTCAAACATTGTACATTTTATTTCCAGAATATCTGTTTAATGCTGTTTTAAAAAAGATTCAAATTGCTTACTAAATTTATCCACACTTTAATCTCTTCTGTCCACCTTTTCCTTTGTTTTCTTGAAAATATTAATTGTACTTATTTTAGAATCCTGATCTTCTAACTCCAATATCTGAATTATTTCTGGGTCTGCCTGTATTGTAGAATGTACATTGTATATAAAAGAACCACAGATGCTCCTGATGAGATGAACTTCAATACCAAGAGTGGTCCCCTTTGATCTGCTAGGCAGAAAGGGAAAGGGTCAGTCATTAATTACTTCAATATAATCAGGAATTGAACTAAGCCTGGGCTGGGTTTCAGTTGTAAAACCCAGTTCTACCATAAAAATACTACCATAAAAATAAGGGTTGGGTAAAACTATCTGACAAATTATAGAATGCTTTTGAAGGTTCTAAACTAGATTGCATGGAGGTCTCTCTTATTTTTAGCTTATAATTTTACTAAATAAACCATCCTTAGATGAACAAGTTACAGATGCTGATGCAATAAAGAAAAGAAGGTAACTTTACATGTTTGTATACATTGATAACATGATTTCATTCCTTTGATTTTCTTCTGTTTGCCAGGTATGGCTCTTAAGATTTCTTCTGTTTGCCAGGTATGGCTTTGTGATTGAGAGCATTAGTCCTGAAAATGGTGGGAGATTCAGTCCTTCCCTTCACAGATTGTCAGTGTAGCTCTTTAGCCTTACTTTCCACACAAATTCTAAATTTGGGAAGTGTCTTGAGGTAGACCCTCTGCTCTTATGGGTCTTTCTTAGCACCATGTGTAAAATTTTATGCTTTAAAGATTTCTATCTAGTTCATGAGGCTTTCTTACACACCCAAAACTAGGTAAATGTCCCATGTGGCCATGCCTTTGAAGCCTTCTAAGTTTTCTAATGGGTAACTTTAAGTCGGTGTGACTGCCAAAAGCTTTGCCTGTTTCTCTTTACTTCTGCAGGTGCCCTATGTCTTAGATAAGGCAATTTTCATCCCACATCTGCATTTGTCAAATGCTCCCAATGAGGGAAAAAAAAAAAATAACATGTTCATCAGATCACCTTGAAATCGTTTTCTCTCTCTGTAGCTTTAGTTGTTCCAGTTCTCATTGCTTCCAAAGATCTCTGATTCTTCAAAAATTGTGGCTTTTTGAATAATTTGTATGGGCTTGTCTGACTGTGGCAGTGGGAACAATAATCTATTACATCCTGCCCAAAAGGTGAAACCATAAGTTTTTGAAAAATGTTCTGATTGGTTGACTCCGGTCAGTATAATTTTTTTTTTTTTTTTTTTTTTTTGACAGAGTCTTTTTCACTCTGTCGCCCAGGCTGGAGTGCAGTGGTGCAATCTTGGCTCACTGCAACCTTCACCTCCCAGGATCAAGCAATTCTCTGGCCTCAGCCTCCCCAGTAGCTGAGACTACAGGCACGCATCATTGAACCTGGCTAATTTTTGTATTTTTTTTGGTAGAGACAGGGTTTTGCCATGTTGGTGAGGTTGGTCTCGAACTCCCAGCCTCAAGTGATCCACCTGTCTCGACCTCCCAAAGTGCTGAAAATACAGGGGTGAGCCATCATGCCCAGCCAATAATTCTTATTATAATTAAACATTCATATGTTGACTTTAACATACATATGTTGACTTCCGTGGGTGGAGGATTACCCAGGTGCCAAGGCAAGAGACTGAAGGCACAAACTGTTTCAGTATAATAAAGAAAATAATTAGAATAAAAATAATTATAATACAAATTAGATATAGAGATGATCATGGACAATTATCAATCATTATTATAAACATTATTAATCATTAGCTTTTAATATTACTCTTTGTTGCATTACTAATATAACCTAAGAATAACCGGGGGGTATAGGGTCAGGTGCTGAAGGAATGTTGTGAGAAGTGACCTAGAAGGCAAGAGGTGAGCCTTCTGTCACGCCTACATAAGGGCCAGTTGAGGGCTCCTTGGCCAAGCAGTAACGCCAGTGTCTGGGAAGACATCCGTTATTTAGCAGACTGCGAAAGGGAGTCTCCTTTCCTTGGAGGAGTCAGGGAACACTCTGCTCCACCAGCTTCTTGTGGAAGGCTGGATATTATCCAGGCCTGCCCACAGTCATCCGAAGGCCTAAACCCCTCCCTGTCGTGCAGTGCTTCAGTGGTCATGCTCCTTGTCCACTTTCATGTTCCTCCCGTACTCTTGGTTCCTCTTTGAAGTTCGTAGTAGATAACAGTAGAAGAAATAGTGAAAATCTTAAAGTCTTTGATCTTTCTTATGAGTGCATGGGAGAAAACACTGATGTATGCTGCCTTCTCTCTCTCTCCTTCAGCTACTTAGGAGGGAAGGGCCCCCTGTCCTTCGATCACGTGACTTGCTTCACCTTGTCAATCACTTAGAAGATTCACCCTTCTTACCCTGCCCCTTTGTCTTGTATGCAATAAATTTCAGCATGCCCAGCCATTCGGGGCCACTACCAGTCTCCGCGTCTTGATGATAGTGGTCCCCTGGGCCCAGCTGTTTTCTCTTTACCTCTTTGTCTTGTGTCTTTATTTATTACAGTCTTTCCTCTCTGCACATGGGGAGAACACCTGCTAAGCCTCGTAGGGCTGGACCCTATAGACTTCCAACTCTTCTGGACTTTTGATCTACATTAGACCTGTAACAGATACCATATATGAGGCTAACTATATAACATAAACTCTTACGTTTTCCATATTGAATCTGCATTCCTGCACTTTGACACTTCAGAAAAATGAGTGTTGAGTAAAACTATCTGACAAATTATAGAATACTTTTGAGGGCTCTAAACTAGATTGTATTCTGGTCTCTCTTATTTTTAACTTATAATTTTACTAAATAAAACCATCCTTAGATGAACAGGTTGCAGATGATGATGCAATAAAGAAAAGAAAGTATACATTGATACATTGTATATATTGATAATGTTGTTTCATTCTTACAAATCAGAGGTGACCTCAACAGTTAGATCTAGCCCTCAGTTAATGTGGAAAACAAGTTCAAAACCGAAATTATCATAATTGGCAGCTAGTTGCAAGTTTCCACTGGTTTCTATCAACTTACTTTCAAGTGAAGAGTAAATTATTTAATTTTGAGATTTGAGGGAGAATATTTCGGGGCTATTTCAAGCTGATAGATTCCCTAAGAACTGGGACACCCCACATCGGTCATTAAATAGTAGTATTATTAAAGCTTTCATTATGTTTTTTTAGGAGACAGGTTGAGCAACTGGTTGGAATATTTTTCAATTCTAAATAATCTTGTGCAAAAGCTTCATAATGGAGCACTTTGATAAATCAGTTGAGACCTTTTGTGTGCTGGAATCCGTCCCAAAGCCCCTAGTATGGAAACCTCTGGTTTGCAGATGGCAGGCAAAAGACCTGGGGAAAGCTACTCAACTTTATCTTTCTGTCAGCATTTGGAGCTTATAGGTCTGCTCTCAAAAACTTTTGCAAACACCAACTACTCACCAATGAATGCAACTTTGAACTGTTTGCTATTCAAAATCTAACAAAAGCTTGGCTGACAAGGGAGATTCTAAATTCTATGTTTCGTTCAAGTTTGCTTAGCTGAAAGAATGGGCATTCTGAAGCTGTCTTTTTTATTTGTTTAGTTAATAATAATTATGTCACTTTTGCTTTGTAATGCCAAGAAACTCAGGAGTAAATTTAAACTCTTTTATTATATTTACGTTGGCCTTTATACATCAGTTTTCTTCTTTGTCATGGTCTAGATTTTCTACTTTTCTATTTGTCTTTGTTCTTATTTGGTCTTTATTTTATTGTTTATATTTGTGCTGTAAGCCACATGAAGTTCTTTTGAGCATCAGATAGCATATAAATGCATACATAAGCTAAATGTAAATTTTCTTGAATCTATGGTGTCTCCGTATCTCTGTGATCCCAGTATGTTTTGAATGTTATTCAAATGGTACAAGTGTCTATTTATCCTAATCTGATCTCTAGTAGAAAATGTCTGAAAATTCCCCTTTGAATGATCAAGAAGAGGTTCTACAGTTTTGTGAGCTTCTAGCTCTCCCAATTCTGCTTTCTCTATTTCTGCCAGAATTAGTTGTTATGGGAACTGTGGTTTTGGATTGTTTATAACGACAGCATACTTGGCCTAATCCTACTTAATACAGCCACCAAATTTACACAAATCAAATCTGTAACCAGGATAA